GATCCAAGTGATAGGCCCTGGAATGAGGAAGGGGTATCTTGTCCCTCCCTAGGACCTGGGCTCTGGTGGGTCCGGTTCCCACCCGGGCTTGGTCCATCCGGTCCCCACCCGGGTTTAGGGTCCGGACCCCCACCCCTATCCTGGGTGGATCCGGATCCCACCCGAAATGGTCCGGACCCCCACCCGGCCTGGGTGGATCCGGATCCCACCCGGGATGGTCCGGACCCCCACCCGCCCTGGGTGGATCCGGTTCCCACCCCGGATGGTCCGGACCCCAACCCAGTCCGGGTGGATCCGGTTTCCACCAGGATGGTCCGGACCCCCACCTGGCCTAGGTGGATCCGGTTCCCACCCGGTATGGTCCAGACTCCCACCCGGCCTGGGTGGATCCGGTTCCCACCCAGGGTGGGATCCGGACCCAATCCGGCCTGTTTGGACTCCCCTCGGTGGGGTTCTAATTTATGTCTAAAATGAGGGGAACCCAACGTTATCCGAGTGATTGGCCTAGGAAAATCCTAGGGTTAGCTCTAGTGGGTTCGGTTCCCATCCAGGTTGGGTCCATCTAGTCCCCACCCTGGATGGTCCAGACCCCCGGCCATCCTGGGTCCATCTGGTTCCCACCCGTTCAGGATGGATTCGGTTCCCAATCGAGATGGTCCGGACCCCCACCTGGCATGGGTGGATCCGGTTTCCACCCGGGATGGTCCGGACCCCCAACCCAATCCTGGGTGGATCCGGCTCTTATCCCGGATATATGTAACCCATCCATTTTTAATATTTGATACTTTTTTAATGATGGTAACTTAATGTAATCCAAGTAATTAGTCTTAGAATCCCTTACTATGTCCACCGCCTGACCAGTCCCAGTCGCAGTTACAGCCAGCCTCCCCACTGCCGGCTCCTGCTCCCTACACTGAGCAGCCCAGAAGTATTACAGAGCATCGTGAGCCTGCGTCTTGTCCTGCGTCGCTTGTTCGCGCTGTCGCACTCGTCGTCGTGTTCCACGTGAGCGTCCTCCTCCTGTCCCCAGCACGCACCAGATGGCACTTCGTCCTTCCTCTGTTCAACTACGTGTCCCCCTACCTTCTCCCCCTGCGTCCTCTTTTGCTGATGGTTCGGACCCGGAGTCTAACTCACTTCGTGCTGGAAACCCTACTGTCACGCGTCTGCGAGCCACTGCTGTCACTGACCCTTTGTTTGATTCCGCTGCTGCATCTGCCTTAGCTGTTGAGGTTTTTGACTTTGCTGCTCGCTGTCGTCTCGACTACGCCGCTAGTCTTGTTGTTGAGTCTGAGTTTGTCAGTCCTCCATCCGTCGGGGGTGAGTGTGCTCTTGGCACGGACGTCCTTGAGGACAGGCAGAAGGACTTTGAGTGTTTTGCAGCTGCTGTACCTCATCTTGTATCCATGCTGATTGCACCTGAGGGCGACCCAGATGCATCAGACATCCCGACCCCGCGCTCTTACGCAGAGGCAATAGAGGGTCCCTACTCCTCACAGGGGCAGTCAGCCATGGACGCAGAGATGGCATCCTAGAAGTCCACACGCACCTACGTCGACAAGGTTCCCCCACCTGGGGCAAACATCGTCACTGGCATGTGGATTTTTCAGGGTGAAGCGGCCGCCGAGTTCTCCGCCTGTCTTCAAGGCACGTTACGTTGCACGAGGCTTCAGTCAGCGACTGGGAGTTGACTTCTTCTAGACCTTCACCCCTACCCCGAAGATGACCACTCTTCGGGTGCTACTGAACGTCACCACTCAGCGTGACTACGAGCTTCACTCTCTTGACTTCAGCACAACTTTCGTACAGGGCAGTCTGCACGAGGAGATCTGGCTACGCCGCCCACCTGGCTTCACTTGGTCGTTTCCTGCAGGTACCTAGTGGAGCCTCCGGCGGCCAGTATACGGTCTCCGCCAGGCGCCTTGCGAGTGGCATGACACACTGAGGATGACGCTTGTGGCTCTTGGGTTTGCTCCTTCGACTGATGACTCGTCGCTGTTTCTGCGCATCGACATTTTGCTCTGTTCTACATCCTCATGTACGTCGACGACTTGGTCTTTGCCACTACTGACACTGAGGCACTCGCCCTTGTGAAGCCGGAGCTGCAGAAGAGACACACGTGCACAAACCTAGGAGAACTGCGCAGCTCTCTTGGCCTGCAGATCACCCAGGACAGAGCACGGCACACCATTACACTGACTCAGTCACACATGGTGCAGCAGGTCCTACAGCGCTTCCGCTTTACGTACTCTTCGCCATAGTCCATTCCTCTGCCTACTGGTCACTCGCTCTCAACTCTGCCTTCGGATGAGTCCGTGGAGCCGAGTGGCCTGTATCCAGAGCTTGTGGGCTGCCTCATGTACCTTATGACCTGCACTAGACCTGACCTTGCTTACCCTCTTAGCATCCTGGCACTCTACGTTGCGCCCGGGAGACACCAACCAGAGCACTGGGAGGCTGCTATGAGGGTGTTGCACTACTTGTGCAGTACATCGGGCATGGGGCTTGTGCTTGGAGGACGGGCTCAAGTTGTCCTCATTTGTCAGGCAGACGCTTCTTGGGTTGACGACTTGGCTACACTGCGGTCGTCATAGGGTTACACCTTCAGCCTTGGCTCCGGCTCTGTTTCTTGGCGGTCTACCCGCTCGTCTTTTGTTCTCAGCTCCAGCTGTGAGGCTGAGATTTACGCAGGGGCCATGGCTACACAGGAGTTACGTTGGCTCACCTACCTGCTGATCGACTTGGGCGAGCCGCCTCGTTCTCCTCCAGTTTTGTACGTCGACAACAAGACCATGGTTGCCTTGTGCCAGGAGCACAGACTAGAGCACAGAACGAAGCACATCGCTTTGCGTTACTTCCTTGCTCGAGAGTTGCAGCAGCGTGGTCAGCTTTGTCTTGCTTACGTGGCCTCTCGGGCCAGCACTACTGATATCTTCACCAAGGCACTTCTGCCTTGTGATCATCAGCGTTTCTGTACTGTTATAGGTCTTGTGCCTACTTGGCCTCACTTGCTCACTTCTTGACTTTGTTTGTACTGTTATCTATATGCTTATACCTGCATGCTTACACTTGCTAAGTTTTGATCACTGTACTACTTGTTCTCTATGATATAATTGTTAAGATGAGAGGAGCCATGGATGGCGAGAGAGTTAGGTAGGGTCGAAAAAGTTGAACTAGGAAGAGAAATGTCGAGGTACAAAAGAGAGAGGGTTGGAAACCCTAATTGAACCGAGGGTGTGTTCGGTTTGTATTAAAAACTACGAAATGAACCTAAAACGAACCTGAATGCGTAACTCTCTCTAAGCATGGAGAAATAATATAAGAACACCAAAATAAAGACCAGAGCGAGCTCTAGCCTACTCTAACACACCCCCAGGCTTGGTGAAGCTCTGGAGCAAAACACCTAGCAAACCGGCACACCCCCAGAAGTGGAGAGACACGTAAGCCCAAGCTCGCGCACGTAGAAATGGTGTGGCGCACGCAGAAGGGCCTTGGTGAAAATGTCAGCAAGATTGGCAGCAGCGTCCACCTTGCGCAGATGTAAGAAACTAGACTGCACCAGCTCGCGCACAAAGAAATAGCAGACCTCGATATGCTTGCTGCGGGCGTGACAGACAGGATTTTCAGTGAGATGGATCATGCTCGCACTGTCACAGGAGAGCGTCACAGAGGACTGAGAGTGACCAAGCTCAGCAAGGAGAAAGGAGAGCCAGCAAGCCTTCTGAGCTGCCAAGGTGCCTGCGTAGAACTCAGCATCGCAGGTGGAAAGGCATACAGAGGATGAGCGAGTAGAGTGCCAGCTTATGAGACCACTGCCAAGAGTGAAAGCATAGCCCTGAGATGAGCGGCAATCAGGGCGGGAGTCGGCATAGGAAGAGTCACTGTAGCCGAAGAGAACGGGAGGAACAGAGCCACCAAGAGTGAGAGCAAGGTCAGAGGTGGCGCGCAGATAGCGCAGGACGCGCTTAGCAGCCGCCCAGTGCACGTCAGTGTGGCGGCCTAGACCAACAAAGCGAGAGAGAATACTGAGGGGGTAAGCAAGGTCGGGGCGAGTGCACATCATAGCATACATGAGAGATCCAACGAGCTCAGGATAAGGCTGCAGCTCAGAGGAGGGAGTAGGGACGGCAAGGGCAATGAGTTGATGGTTAGCGGGAAGAGGGGTGGAGACCGGCTTGGCCTGCGACATCTCAAACCGCTAGAGGATGGACTGGATATAGAAAGACTGGGAGAGAGAGATGGTGTGGGCAGCACGATCACGACGGATCTCCATGCCGAGGTAGTGACGAAGCTTGCCAAGGTCCTTGCACATGAGATGCGCCTGCAGGGCTTTCTTGACAGCTGCAAGATCGGCGGAGTCCTCAGCACGCAGCACCAACTCGTCCATATAGGCAAGGATGTAAAGCCTGTGGGGGGATGTGCAAATGAAGAGACTGGGGTTGGAAGTGGAGGTAGAGAAGCCAAGAGAGTGAAGGGTGGAGGCTGTCAGAATATATTTGTGTAACTGCCTGTAGCTGTAGTTTAGTGCAGTTATTATTAACTTTTGGTGGTGCACCTCTTGTTCTTGTTCTCTTGCCTATATGTTCCTTGTTTGCCATAGTGAAACCCTCACTTCTTCTTGCTAAACTCCCTCGAACTCAACTACCAAGGCTCCTAAGCCATGGCTCCTAAACATACTAATGCTTAGCCTATCTCAACATGCTATCAGAGCAAACTACGTTTCTGGCCTGTTGCTTCCGCTGCTACTCTGTGTACTGCACGCCCCGTGGCGTGCCCATCGCGAGACCCTTAGTGGCCCCTCGCGGCCCCCTTCGCGGCCCCGTCGCTGCCCTTCCAGGCCCTTCGCGGCCCCTTCGCGGCCCCGTCGCCGCCCCTATCGGCCCCGTCGCCGACCTTTCAGGCCCTTCGCGGCCCCTTCGCGGCCCCGTCGCCGCCCCTATCGGCCCCGTCGCCGACCTTTCAGGCCCCTCGCGCCCCCCTTCGCGGCCCCGTCGCCGCCTTTACCGGCCCATCGCCGCCCTTCCAGGCCCCTCGCGGCCCCTTCGCGGCCCCGTCGCCGCCCTTATCGGCCCCATCGTTGCCTTCAGCGGCCCCGTCGCCGCCTTTTGCGGCCCCATCGCCACCCCTACCGGCCCCGTCGCCGACCTTTCAGGCCCCTCGCGGCCCCTTCGCGGCCCCGTCGCCGCCTCCAACGGCCCCGTCGCCGCCCCTATCGGCCCCGTCGCCGCCTCAAGCGGCCCCGTCGCCGCCTCTAGCGGCCCCGTCGCCGCCCCTATCGGCCCCGTCGCCACCTCCAGCGGCCCCGTCGCCGCCCCTTGCGGCCCCGTCGCTGCCCCTTTCGGCCCTGCCTCGACCCCGACCCCGGCCCTGCCCCGACCCTGTCGCAGCCCCTCGGCGCGGCCCTGCCCCGACCCTGTCGCGGACTCGTCCCGGACCTGCCCCGACCCCGGCCTTGCCCTGACCCTGTCGCGGCCCTATCGCGGCCCTCCCCCTGCTATGCCCCGACCCTGCCTCGACCCTGCCCCGGCCCCGCCCCGGCCATGCTCCGTCGCCTGTCGCGGCGCACCGGGGGCACGTGCACCGCCCCCCCCTCTTTTTCCCGTCGCCCGTTGCGGCTCCCTGGGGGGCCCCATGCGGCCCCCTCAGGTCGCCTCGACAGGCGACGGGAGGGGCGACCTGGGGGGGTGGGATGAGCGTCGCCCCTTCTGCCGCCTGCTTTGGCGCCCTGGGAGGCCGCGCGTCGCCCCCCCCCCCCCCCCCCCCCCCTCCCCCCCCCCTGTAACCTCCCTACCCGCCATCCCGCCCTGCCCTGTGTTAGGGTTTGGGGGTGGCGGGTGTGGGGGTGGCGGGTGTGGGGGTAGCGGGGGTGTGGTCTCCCCTTCCCCTCCTCCTCCTTTCGTTCCCACTACTGCAGCTGCCGGAGGGGGGAAGGGTGTGAGGGTGTGGGGGAGCCAGGGGAGTGGCATTGGGGTGGCGGGTGTGTGGTCTCCCCTTCCCATCCTCCTCCTTTCGCCCCCCCTCTGCTGCTCCTGCAGCAGTGGGAGGGGGAGGGGGAGGGGGAGGGTGAGGGGATGGAGGGGGTGACCAGCCAGCGCCAGCCCGCCTCCTCTCTCTCCCTGCCGCCTCTCCTGTGTTCGGGGGGGGGAGGAGAGTAAGGGGGTGGCAGGAGTGTCTTGCTCTCGCCTGCCCCTTTGCTGCTGTACCTGCTCTGTTACCGTGCCTGCTGTTGCTGGTGTACCCCTGCAGGTTGTGTTCTGCACAAACTCCTGCTGCAAGCAGTTATGGGGGAGTGTCAGAATATATTTGTGTAACTACCTGTAGCTGTAGTTTAGTGTAGTTATTATTAACTTTTGGTGGTGCACCTCTTGTTCTTGTTCTCTTGCCTATATGTTCCTTGTTTGCCATAGTGAAACCCTCACTTCTTCTTGCTAAACTCCCTCGAACTCAACTACCAAGGCTCTTAAGCCATGGCTCCTAAACCTACTAATGCTTAGCCTATCTCAACAGAGGCGAGCTTGGCGTGCCACTCGCGTGGGGTCTGGTTAAGGCCATACACAGGTCGTTTCGATTCCCAAACCGTGCCTGGAGGGAAAGGGCGAGGAAAGCCAGCGGGGCGCTCAAGGAATATGCGCTCATGCAGCTCGCCCTGGAGGAAAGCATTGGAAACGTCCATGGAATGGATCTCCCAATTCCAACGAGCACCTAAGTCAAGAAGGAGGCGAAGGGTGGGGAGACGGGCTGTGGGGAAGTAAGTGGCAAAGTAATCAATGCCTTCACACTGAGTGAACCCCTTGGAACAGTAGCGGGCCTTGAAGTCAGGAAGTTCGCCGGGCAGCTGCTTGACACGGAAGACCCATTTGCGCCAGGGGGGGGGGACAGAGTCAATGTATGAATTAGTTCTGGTGAATGTCTCACACTCAGCAATGATGGCAGCCATCCACTCAGTGGCATGAAAGCCCGACACAGCCTCGGAGTAGGACTGAGGGGTGGGAATGGCAGCGGTGTCGACAGCGAGAAGAGTGGGATAACTGTTAAAGTCACCAATGGTGACACACAGGAGAGGAGAAACAGGATGAACGTTGAAGAGCTCCTCAAAGCGATCTTCAAGAAGAGTAACATTCTGAGATGGAGAAAGACGAGTGAAAAGAGCAAAGTGCTGAAAATTATAAAGTGCGCGGGTCATGGAGCGAGTAAGGCGTGGGGAAGGGGGGGGGAATGGGAACAGACAAAGGAGGTGGAGAGGAAGATGGAAGTGAGGAAGGGAGGGGAGCCAAAGAGGAAGAGGCGGGTGGGGAGGCGCCAGAGATGATGTCGGAAGGGGGGGCAGTAGAGGCTGGCGCAGAGGGAGGGGCGGGATAGGAGGGGGGGGGGGGGGGAGGGAAGGACAGACGGCGGCTGATCGGAATCAGACCAGTGAAGAGAGGGGACAGGAGGGGCAGGTGGGGGGGAATGGAATGGGGATTGAGTCTCAGCCAAAATGACGTCCTGGCTGAGGATGAGTTGGTGAGAGGAAGGGGAATAGAAAAGATAGCCAGGACAGTCAGAGTTGATGTCAAGGAATGCACAGAGCTGCGTCTTGGGAGCGAGTTTCCCACCCTGACGGGACCGGTCTGCTGGATTGACAAGAACATGGGCGACACACCCCCAAACCCAAATAGGGCGAACAGAGGGCTGGCGGCCAGTCCAAAGCTGGAAGGGGGTGGTACTAGGGCGAAGAGGATGAGGGCGGAGGTTAGAGAGTAGAGTGGCATGGAGGAGAGCATAGCTCCAAAGAGAGTGGGGAGCAGAGGCATGGGTGAGAAGGCAGCGAGTGATTTCCATGAGATTGCGATTGCGACGCTCGGCAACCCCATTCTGTTCGGGTGAGTGAGGAAGAGTGGAGGTCTGGCGAATGCCATGAGAGGCACAGTAAGAGGAGAGAGAGTGATTAAAGAATTCGCCACCACCATCCGAGTGGAAGCGCGCAACAGAACGCTTAAAGCGTAGATGAGCCTGCTCAGCCCAGCGAATGATGAGGGAGGGAGCGTCAGATTTGGCACGGAGGGGATAGACAGTGGCAAATCATGAGTGGTCATCAACCAAAAGCAGAAAGTAACGATGAACTTGACGAGAAGCAGTAGGTGAAGGACCCCAGAGGTCCATATGAACAAGGTCAAGGGGTTGGGGAGAGGCAGAGGGAGAAGAGGGATGGGGTGACTGGGATAATTTGGCCTGGACACATGGGGTGCATAGAGGAGCAGGAGAGGGAGGAAGGGGGGGGAGAGAGGAAGGGACGCCATGAAGAAGCTTGGAGGAGACCATACTGCGAAGAAGGGGAAAATTGGGGTGGCCAAGCCGATGATGGAGGAGAAGGGTAGGTTGAGTGAGAGAACGACAGTCGCAAGAAGGAATGGGAGGGGCGGAAGCGGAAGAGGCATGATGGGCAGAAGGGGGGAGAGAGACACGAAGAGTGTAGAGGCGAGTGATAGGGGAAAGAGTAAAGCATGCAAGATGTCGCAATAGGAGTTACATTCTGGAAAGATAGCTCGCACACAAAGACGTTGAAGAGAAGAGAGAGAGAGAAGGTTGTGGTGGCAGGAAGGGACATAGAGGCCAGTCACAGCACCAGAGGGGGAGGCAAGACAGGGTAGAGAGGAGGTAGTAGTGCAAGTCATGGTCATGGTATCCCCAGCTCCTTGGATGGAGAGGGGATGGGGAAAAGAGCGAAGCACACCAGCGTCACGAAAAACAGAGTCAGTGGCACCACTGTCAAGAACAAACTCAAGATTGTGAGGGAGAGAAAGAGCAGCAGCTGTGGGACAAAGATACTGAGAATCATTGCCATTAACACAAGGAGAAAACATCATGGTAAAACGAGGGTCCATAAGGGGAAAAGCCCCCAGAATGCTATCCTGACTAGGCATAGTCACACTGAGAGCAGAGGTTTGAGCACTGGTATCAGAGTCAGCAGCCACAAGTACCGCTTGGGCAGAAGACTGGCGACGCTGACGAGAGAGTTGAAGCCAATTGGGAGGGCGACCAGTGTTGCCAGCCAGGAACCAGTCATCGGTGAGCTTCTGGAAGCAGGAGGAGGCGGGATGATTGGTGCGACCGAAGGGCTGACCCTTGCAGGGCCCCTGGCAAATGACGTAGGTGTAAGGAGGAAAGGTGTTGCGAGGGCGAGAGGAAGCAGCGGCGGTAGTGGAGGTGGGGAGAGGGGGGGGGGGGGGGAAGAGGGTGTGACAGCGGCGGCAGTAGGAGGGCAGCTGCGGAGGTTGAGCTCTGCCTGGAGGAGGAAGGCAGAGACACGAGAGAACGACCACTGGTCGGCAGGGCGCTCACCATACAGAGTGACATGAACACTGTATTGAGGAGTGAGGCCTGTGAGGAGGAGGGCACCGCACACATGATCGGAAAGTTCAAACTTTTGAGAGGCAAGTTGGGAAGACAGCGTCTGCACACGAGGGATGTAGTCCGCCATGGTGGTGAAGTCAGCAAGGCGAAGAGAGGTGAGCTCGCGTAAGAGGGCAATGATACTGATAGGAGTCTGCGACTGGAAGCGCTCGGTAAGATAGCCGAGAAGGTCCTTGGCATAGCGGATATGCGAGCACTGAGGGAGAAGAGTTGGAGGGAGGCAGGCAAGGATGACCTGACACGCACGTGCGTTGGCAACATGCCAGTCAGCGAGAAGGTCAGAGTGAGATGGAGTAGAGGAAATGGGCGTAGACGCAGAGCGAGGAGAAGGGGCAGCGAGGTGCTCAGTGAGGCGCTTGCGGGTGCTCTCGAGGGACTCCGTAAGAATACGAGCTAAGTCACGGGCAGCAGCATTGTCAGGAGCAGCCGTGGCGGTGGCTTGCGCTGTGGTCACAAGCCGCTCAGTTTCAGCAATGGCAGCACGGAGGCCATCAGCATAGGGGTCACAGGAGGAAGAGGTGGGTCCAGAGGGAGAGGTGGGCATGGCACCAGAACCACTCTGCTGAGTGACAAACCAGAGGTTAAAGCCACTCACAAGGGTGCCAGACAGCGTGCGCTCAAGACAGTTCAGCCAACCGGGGAAGTTGACTGCACTGCCATCGGGCGCAAGCTGAAGGACCAGCAGAGGGAGGGAAGAGAGGGCGAGAGAGGTCGCCATGAGGAGGAGGAAACAGCTGCAGAGAAGATGTGGGGAGAGGTATAAGAGGCGGAGGAATAAGGGCGGGGTAGTCTGCTGCTGAGCCGCTGAGGGGAGAAACAAGAGGAGGGAAAGTGGCGGAGTAGTCTGCTGCTGAGATGATGCGGGGAGAAACTAGAGGAGGAGGGAAAATGGCAAAGTAGTCTACTGCTGCGCCAATGAGGGGAGAAACCAGAGGAGGAGGGAAAATGGCGGAGTAGTCTGCTGCTACGCCGATGAGGGGAGAAATCAGAGGAGGAGGGATAGCGGCGGAGAAGTCTGCTGCTGTGCCGCTGAAGGGAGAAACAAGAGGAGGAGGGAGAGTTGGGAAGAGTGTGCAATTGAGCAGTTGAGAGGAGGATGTTGAGGAGGAGGGAAGGTGTGGAGGAACAACAGCTACACAACACAATCAGCTACCAGCTGCAGCAGATCAAGAGAGAAAAGAGGTGGAGGAGGGGTGAGATAGTGGAGAGGGAACTAGTGGGAGAGAGGGGAGGAGGAGGAGGGTGAAGGGGCGGATTGTGGGAAGGGCAGGGCGCGCCACAAGGAGCTGCGAGCCACAACAGATGGGGAGAGAAAATAGGAGGAAGAGGTGAGGTATTGGGGGAAGCACAAAGGAGAGAGGGAAGGAGGAGGAGGGTTGTCACAGGATCGAATTCTTAATCGAAACTTGTCACTAAAACTGAATACAAAGCGTTTATATACTTGGAAAATACAAGGATAAACGAGATAAAACGGACCTTTAGGAACACGCCCTTTGCGATACTACAATCACGAGTGCGCACAAGCACGCAAGGCTATTGGCACTTGGGATTACGCCCAGATTACACCGTATACACCACTGTCGGCGCTGTCGGTGCCGTATAATAGATATGTCGGTGGGAAAAGTAGGAAATATGTGAAATAAAGAGAAGGCTCTAGAAAATAGAATAGTAGGCCGATTGAGATGAAATAAAGACCAAAATAAAGAGGAGAAAAAGGAGGAAGAGGTGAGTTATTGGGGGAAGCACAAAGGAGAGGGGGAAGGAGGAGGAGGGTTGTCAGAGTATTGAATTCTTAATCGAAACTTGTCACTAAAAATGAATACAAGGCGTTTTTATACTCAGAAAATACAAGGATAAACGAGATAAAACGAACCTTCAGGAACACGGCCTTCGCGATACTACAATCACGAGTGCGCACAAGCACGCAAGGCTATTGGCACTTGGGATTACGCCCAGATTACACCGTATGCACCACTGTCGGCGCTGTCGGTGCCGTATAATAGATGTCGGTGGGAAAAGTAGGAAATAAGTGAAATAAAGAGAAGGCTCTAGAAAATAGAATAGTAGGCCGATTGAGATGAAATAAAGACCAAAATAAAGAGGAAAAAAAGGAGAATAAGATAAAGGAAAAATAAAATAGTGAGAAAATATTATAACGGGGACGTCCTCTCACACTTCCCCCCTCAAAGCTGGGTGGTAGAAGTAACACCCTGCTTGACAAGGTAGTCCTGGAGAGGACGACGGGCGTTATCCATGTCGTGTTCAGGTACCCAACTATCCTCGAAAGGATCATAGCCTTTCCAACGAATCAAGAGCTCCAATGTGCCGTTACGTCGTCGTCGGTGTGTCAAATCATAATGTTCTGTAGGCTGTAGTTGGGTAGCCCATATGGGGTACACATCTCTAGGGTTGCATATTTGTACCACATTCCATTCCTTAGTGCACCATTCTTGTTTCAGTTTTCTCATGGTATCGAGCAGGTTCCCTCGTGGGAACTGTGCCTAGGGCCCACCAAGTCGAAAGTTTTTTTTCCTGCCCGGAGCGCGCTTAGCCCGAGTCGCGCTCCCCTCTCTGACTTCGTCGAGCCGCCCTAGCGGCCAAGTCGCCCCGCCTTAGCGGCCCCTGGTTCCTACCTGCGCCTCGGCCCCGTCGCCCTACCTGCGCCCCGGCCCCGTCGCCCTACCTGCGCCCCGGCCCCGTCGCCCTACCTGCGCCCCGGCCCCGTCGCCCTACCTGCGACCCCGGCCCCGTCGCCCCACCTGCGACCCTGGCCCTGTCACCATACCTGCGGCCCCGGCCCTAGCCCCGTCGCCCTACCTGCGCCCCGGCCCCGTCGCCCTGCTTGCGACCCCGGCCCCGTCGCCCCACCTCCGACCCTGGCCCCGTCGCCCTACCTGCGCCCCGGCCCCGGCCCCGTCGCCCTACCTACGCCCCGGCCCCGGCCCCGTCGCCCTACCTGCGTACCGGCCCCGTCACCCTACCTTCGACCCGGCCCCGTCGCCCTACCTTCGACCCGGCCCCGTCGCCCTACCTACGGCCCGGCCCCGCCGCCCTACCTGCGGCCCACCCGCCCTACCTGCGGCCCCACCGCCCTCACCTGCGGTCCCCGCCGCCCTTACCCGCGGTCCCCGCCGCCCTCACTTGCGGCCCCGCCGCCTTCCCTGCGGCCTCGTCATCTGCTGCAGCGCCGCCTGCCACCCGAGCCGCCTCACCTAGCCGAGCAGCCGACCGCCGCGCCCTCGTACAGCAGCATAGCCGAGCCGCCCAGAAGCTGAGCAGCCGGACAGCCGAGCAGCCGAGCCGCCCAGCAGCCGAGCAGCCAAGCCGCCTTGCAGCCGAGCCGCCCAGCAGCCGAGCCGCCCTGCAGCCGAGCCGCCGTGCAGCCGAGCCACCGAGCCGCCGAGCCGCCCTACATCCGAGCTGCCCGAGCAGCCCCGTCCAGTAAGCACAGCGCCTCTGTCACTACACTGCCCTTTCCCTACTGTGTGCGCTGCTAGTCTACTGTTGTCATGGCTACCCCTAGTGTCCTCGCTTTTGACGCCGAGGGTCGAGCCATTGACTTTGACGTCTGGGTAGATGACCTGCAGCTCTTCTTACAGTGCGATAGGGAAGACGGTCTCTCCCTCTTTGACCTCACCCCTGGTGCCTCTCCTGCTCCTGCTGCTGATGCTGACGCCACTGTTCGCTCACAGTGGGCCACGCGCGATGCTGCTGCACGTCTTGCTGTGCGTCGCCACCTCCCTACCTCTGAGCGTGCGCACTTTAGTCAGTACAAGAGTGCTCAGACCTTGTACGACGCTGTAGTTGCACGCTACTCCTCCCCTGCCACTGCTGCACTGAGCCGTCTCATGCTACCGTACCTCTTCCCTTACCTTGCTGCCTTTCGCAATGTCACTGACTTCATTACGCACCTCCGCACTAGTGACACTCGCTACCGCGCTGCGCTTCCTGCTGACTTCTGCGCCAAGAACCCCCCCCCCCCCATGTACATCACTCTCTACTACATAGTCACTCGCCTCCCTGACTCCCTTCGCGTAGTCAGGGACCACTTCCTCTCAGTCTGTCCCACCACTCTCACTGTTGACCTCCTCGAGAAGTCCCTCCTAGCGGCCGAGAAGAGCATAGTCGCTGTAGGGGCCTCTCGTGGTGACCCGCGCACCCCCATCTTTGAGGGGTGTTCCCCCTCCCCCCTTCTGCCCTCTGTTGCCTCTGCTGCTGCGGCCGACCTCCTTGGTATTGAGTCGGTCGGTGCGGCGTCTGCCCCTAGCGGGAGACGCCGCTCTGGCAAGGGCAAGGGGGGCAGGGGCAATGGAGGAGCGAGCGGGGGCGGTGGAGGTGGAGGTGGAGGCGGCGGGGGGAGTGGGGGTGGCGGTGGGAGTGGAGGTGGGGGTGGAGGTGTCGGTGGCGGCAGTGGAGGCGGAGGCGGCGGCGGCGGTGGCGGTGGGAGCGGAGGTGGCGGAGGTGGCGGCGGTGGAGGAGGCGGCGGAGGCGGCGGTAGTAGCGGAGGCGGCAGAGGCGGCAAAGGCGGCGGGGGTGGCGGTGGAGCTGGTTGCGGGTCTACGCAGAGGAGTGGCTACGGTTGTGGTCCGCGCCAGCAGCAGCAGCGCGGTCGTGAGACCCTGTCCCCTCAGCAGCTCCGTGAGTGGTACACTGCACGCCAGCGGGGTGGGGGCTTTGGTCCGTGCACCTACGTCCTGCGCATCGGCGACCGTGCGGGTGAGCAGTGTGGGGGTGCGCACCCCACCCAGCGCTGCTTTGGCCGCCTTACGGACGAGTGGCGTCACCAGTTCCCAGAGGCCACAGAGATCCCTCGCTGGAGCGAGCTGTCTAGGGCGGGAGTTGCCATCTATGATCTTGATTTTGATGCTATCCTTTCTGCCATGTATGCTGTGTCTATTAGTGATGAGGGTGACTGTTACCGGTGTTTCCCGCCCGACCCGGGCATTGAGACTGCTGCTCTAGGTACTGGTGACGCTGCTGCTCTAGGTGCCAGTGAGGGTGCTGCTCTAGGTGCCAGTGCGTCTGCGTCCTCAGGTGCTGGTGAGTCTGCGCTCGCAGGTAGCGCGTCGCCTTCGGCCTCCCTCACCTTCACACTTGACTCAGGGGCTTCTCGCTCCTTCTTTCGAGACCGCACCACACTCACGCCGCTTGGCCGGCCGGTTGCAGTCTCCCTGGCAGACCCCTCTGAGGGTCCTGTCCTTTCTCACTTCTCCACTGTCCTCCCATGTCCGACGGCCCCCTCTGGCACCTTGTCTGGTCTTTACCTTCCCTCGTTCTCTACGAACTTGATGAGTGGTGCTGACCTATAGGATGCGGGGGTTCACCAGTTTACTCCTGTGAGTCAGCGGGTGACCCACTACTCGGACGCTCGCACAGGCCGGCACCTGGCCACATTTACGCGTCGGCCGGGATCGAGCCTGTACACCCTGACCACTGAGTCTCCTCCTCTCCCTGCGTCTGGTCAGGTAGCTGCGTCGGGTCAGGTGTTTGCTGCAGCGTCCAGGTCTGGTCCTGAGTCTGCCCCCTACTCGTGTCGCCTCCTGTCTCACGAGACTCTCCTGTGGCATCACCGCCGTGGTCACCCCTCCCTGCCTCGTCTCCGAGGCATGGCCTCCCGTGTCCTTGTCTCTGGACTTCCCCGGTCCCTCCCTCCCCTTCCTTCGGGGCCTGGCCCCACCTGCGTCCCCTGTGTCGAGGGGCAGCTGCGGGCTGCCCCTCACTCCTCTCAGTTTCCCCTGACAGAGGCCCCGCTGCAGACGCTTCACATGGACGTGTGGGCCCGGCCCGCGTCCGTGGACAGGGTCACGAGCGCTACTTCCTGCTGGTGGTTGACGACTACTCGCGTTACACCACAGTCTTCCCCTTGCGCAGCAAGGGTGATGTCGCTCAGGTGTTGATCGATTGGATCCGCGCAGCTCGTCTCCAGCTCAGGAGGAGCTTCGGCTCGGACTTTCCTGTTCTGCGTCTGCACTCTGACCGAAGCGGAGAGTTCTCCTCTGGCCTTCTACGAGCCTACTGTCGTGCGCGAGGCATCCGCCAGACCTTCATGCTTCCGGACTCTCCACAGCAAAATGGGATTGCTGAGCGCCGCATTGGCATGGTCATGGACGTTGCTCAAACGTCCATGATGCATGCGGCTGCCCCCCATTTTCTGTGGCCGTTTGCGGTTCGGTACGCGGCGCATCAGATCAACCTTCACCCCAGGGTCTCCATGCTGGAGACCTCCCCAGCTTTTCTGTGGACGGGGAAGGTAGGCGATGCGTCTGCGTTCCGTGTCTGGGGATCTCGGGCTTTTGTCCGCGACTTGTCTGCGGACATGCTGTCCTCTCGTGCTGCTCCTTGCGTCTTCCTTGGCTTCCCCCCTGACGCGCCAGGGTGGCAGTTCTACCACCCCACCTCTTGTCGTGTTCTGTCCTCCCAGGACGTCACGTTTGACGAGTCGGTCCCCTACTACCGCCTCTTCCCCTACCGCACTCCGTCCCTCCCCCCGCCACCGCTCTTCCTTGTGCCAGGTCCCCCCCCGGTAGACCCCCTCCCCCCTCAGGGTCCTGCCCCTTCAGGTGTGTCCTAGGTAGACGCAGTCGAGCCTGTGGAGGTTACTGGTGACTTTGGTGCTGTTGAGGGTGCTGAGCCTGGGGGTGCTGACTCTGGGGGTGCTGAGCGTGTGGGTGCTACGCCTGGGGGTGCTGAGCCTGAGGGTGCTACTACTGGGGGTGCTGAGACTGGGGGTGCTGAGCCTGGGGGTGCTACGCGTGGAGGTACTGAGCCTGGGGGTGCGGAGCCTGAGGGAGCTGGGCCTGCTGGTGCATTGCCTGGCGGTTCTCTGGGTGCTTCGTCTTGCCGGGAGCCACTCTCTCCACAGGAGCTGCGTGAGTGGTTTGCCCGGCGCTGGAGGCGAGCTGCTGGAGCTGGAGGTGCTGCAAGTACTGGAGGTTCTGTTGCTGATGAGGGAGCTGGTGCCACGGGTCCCGGAGGTGCTCGTACTGGGAGTACTGGAGCTGCTGGGCCTGCGGGTACTTCTGGAGCTGGAGCTACTGCGGGTGTTGGCGCGGAGGCTACTGCTGTCAGTCCTGGAGGCGGTCCTGCTAGGGGTACTACTGGTGCTGCTGGAGGTCCTAGAGCTGGAGCTGCTCCTGGTGCTGGTGCTGCCACTGGGGGTGCTGGTGCTGTTCCTGCTGTGTCTTGAGTCGCCGCGCGGCCTCGGCCGTACTTCGTTCCGCTCCTTCAGCAGGTTCTTGGTCTCCCATCTTCTACTGGTCCTCCTCCTCCCTTAGAGTGTCCACCGCCTGTCCCGTCGCAGTTACACTTACAACCGGCCTCCCCACTGCCTGCTCTGTCTCCCTACACTGGTCCTACTGGAGGTCTTGCTGAGCGTCGTGAGCCTGCGTCTCGCCCTGCGTCGCCTGTCCGTGCTGCTCGCACTAGTGGTTGCAGTTCGCGTCAGCGTCCTCCTCCTGTCCCTGGCACGCACCGGATGTCTCTGTGTCCGTCCACTGCTCCTCTGCGTGCCCCTTTGCCTTCTCCTCCTGAGTCTTCTCTTCCTGCTCTTGCCGACCCGGAGTCGGACTCTCTTCGTGCTGCCAGTCCTACTGTCACGCGTCTCCTTGCTACTGTCGTCACTGACCCTTCTTTTGAGTCCACTGCTGCGTCTGCCCTAGTTGCTGAGCTCGTCGACTTTGCTGCTCGCTGTCGACTAGACTACGCTGCTAGTCTTGTCGCTGAGTCTCAGTCTATCTGTCCTCCGTCCGTCGGGGGTGAGTGTGCCCTTGGCACGGACGTCCTTGAGGACAGGCAGGAGGAGTTCCAGTGCTTTGCGGCTGCTTTGCCCCATCTCGTGTCCGTACTGCTTACCCCTGAGGGAGACCCGGATGCACTTGACATCCCGACTCCGCGCTCTTACGCGGAGGCCGTAGAGGGTCCCTACTCCTCTCAGTGGCAGGCAGCTATGGATGCAGAGATGGCTTCCAGGAAGTCCACAGGCACCTACGTTGACGCGGTTCCCCCACCTGGGGCGAACATCGTCAGTGGCATGTGGATCTTCACGGTGAAGCGGCCGCCAGGTTCTCCACCTGTCTTCAAGGCGCGGTACGTGGCTCGTGGTTTCAGTCAGCGGCAGGGAGTTGACTACTTTCAGACCTTCTCTCCCACCCCGAAGATGACCACTCTTCGGGTGCTGCTGCACATAGCCGCTCAGCGCGAATACGAGCTTCACTCTCTTGACTTCAGCACTACTTTCTTGCAGGGTAGCCTGCACGAGGAGATCTGGCTGCGCCGCCCATCTCGCTTCACTGGGACTTTTCCTCCTGGCACCCAGTGGAGCCTCCGGTGGCCAGTCTACGGTCTCCACCAGGCACCGCGTGAGTGGCACAACATACTGAGGACTACACTTGCGGCTCTTGGGTTTGCTCCCTCTACTGCCGACCCGTCGCTGTTTCTACGCACCGACACCTCTTTGCCGCCGTTCTACATCCTCGTGTACGTCGACGACTTGGTCTTTGCCACTGCTGACACTGCTGGACTCGCCCACGTGAAGTCCGAGCTGCAGAAGAGACACACGTGCACAGACCTGGGTGAACTGCGCAGCTACCTTGGCTTGCAGATCACCCGGGACAGAGCACGCCGCACCATTACCCTGACTCAGTCACACATGGTGCAGCAGGTCCTTCAGCGCTTCGGCTTCACGTACTCCTCGCCTCAGGCCACTTCTCTGCCTACTCGCCACTCGCTCTCAGCTCTGCCTTCGGATGAGTCCGTAGAGTTGAGTGGCCCGTACCCAGAGCTCGTTGGCTGCCTCATGTACCTGATGACCTGCACACGACCTGACCTTTCATACCCTCTTAGCATTCTTGCACGCTATGTTGCTCCTGGGAGACACAGACCGGAGCACATGGCTGCAGCGAAGAGGTTGTTGCGCTACTTGTGGAGAACGTCGGGCATGGGGCTAGTGCTTGGAGGGCAAAGTCCAGTGGTCCTCACTGAGCATGCAGACGCTTCTTGGGCTGACGACCAGGCTACACAGCGGTCGTCACAGGGTTACACCTTCAGCCTTGGTTTCGGCTCTGTTTTGTGGAGGGCTACTCGCTCGTCTTCCGTTCTCGGCTCCAGCTGTGAGGCTGAGATCTACGCAGGAGCCATGGCTGCTCAGGAGCTTCGCTGGCTCACCTACCTGCTGACTGACCTCGGAGAGCCGCCTCGTTCTCCTCCAGTGCTGTACGTAGACAACAAGGCCATGCTGGCCTTGTGTCGGGAGCAGCGCCTGGAGCACAGAACGAAGCACATTGCTCTCCGCTACTTTCTTGCTCGTGAGCTGCAGCAGCGTGGTCAGTAGCGACTTGCGTACGTGGCCTCTGAGGCCAACACTGCTGATATCTTCACTAAGGCACTTGCGCCTTGTGATCATCAGCGCTTCTGTACTCAGCTTGGTCTTGTGCCTGCCTTGCCTCACTTGCTCACTTCTTAACCTTGCTTGTACTATCACATATATATACTCCTGCTCTTGCTTGTTTAGCCTTTTATATATATATGTGCTCCTGCATGTGGATTTGCCTTCTGGCCTTGAACTTGTGCTCAGAATGTGTGGTGACTTTGTGATCCACCTTGAGCTTTGCTTTGTTCTGCTTGACTGGTCTTGTGACCCCTTGTTCTCCCCCACTTTGCCTATGGGGCTGTGTCAAATCATAATGTTCTGTAGGCTGTAGTTGGGTAGCCCATATGGGGAACACATTTCTAGGGTTGCATATTTGTACCACATTCCATTCCTTAGTGCACCATTCTCGTTTCAGTTTTCTCACGGTGCGCCAGAACGGCTTCGTCTTCGTACTCAGGTTCCCCATTAACGATCACTGGCAGTGGCGGCGGCGGCTGGCGACATTTGAAGACCGTGTTCGGGTCCCGATATGGCTTGAGAAGTTGAACATGAAAGGCATTGTGAATTCTCCAGGTAGCTGGTAAATGCAAGCGGAAGGTTACTGGAGTGACCTACGCCTCGACGAGAAAAGGTCCGCAGAAGCGAGGTCGGAGCTTAGACGGAAGATGGCTAATGTCGAGATTGCGTGTATCCAGAAGCACTTGATTGCCAATCTTAATAGAATGATCATTGCGACTCCGATCAACAAGCTTCTTTTGTGGCTGTTGGATAGTTAAAAGTCGTTTACGCGTGCGCTCCCACAACTGGTGCAAAGCGGTAATGAAGTCATGTGCGGGTTGCACCGTGGCGGGTACTGTCTGTTGCTAAGGCGTGAGTAGGTTGCGACCGTAACAGAGGAAGAAAGGAGTTTGCCCTGTTGCGGCGTGCGTGGCGTTGTTACACGCAAACTCGAGAACCGGCAGGTGTGCATCCCATTTAGAGATATCGTCCTTATACGCTGCTCGCAGAAGTTGTTCGACAATCTGGTTGAGGCGTTCTGTCCGGCCATCCGTTTGGGGATGATAGGCTGATGTCATGGCGAGTTTGGTCCCCATGAGCGACATGAGCTCCTTCCAGAATTTACTCTTGAATTTCGGGTCTCTGTCGGAGATCAGCGTGGTTGGAATGCCATGTTGCGAGATGACGTAGCGGAAAAATAATTGCGCTGTCTCCTCGGTGCAAGCTGTTGTGTGTGTCGGGATGAAGTGTCCCATTTTGGAGAATTTGTCGATGACGACTAGAATGGCGACGTAACCAGCTTTGGTAGGTGGTAACCCGGTGATGAAGTCCAGGCTAACCACTTGCCAAGGCTGTTCAAGGACTGGAAGAGGCTGGAGTAACCCGGCTTTCTTCTGTTTGCTGCTCTTCATCCGTTGGCATGTGTCGCACGAGGTGATGAATTTTTGTACGTCATTCGCCATGTGGGGCCAATAATAATGCTTCGCAATACCGGCAAGCGTCTTGCTACTACCGAAGTGGCCCGCGAAGAGAACATCATGATATTCTTTGAGCAGTAACTGGCGTAAAGGAGGGTAATTAGGTACCCATATTTTTGTGGATACCTTGCGGTATGCGATGTCTTGATCCCAATGTAGAAGATGGCGCTTTTCTGCTACAGAGACTTCGGGGTCGATGGTGTATCCATGCGTGAAGAGTCCCTTCAAAAGTGGGTTCATGCCATCGGCTTGTAGGGCGGCAACGTGTGCAGTGCGACTGAGTGCGTCTGCCTTGTTCTTGTTCCCCGGCTTATACACGATGTCGTAATGGAAGTGGGTTTCGAGAAAGTCAATCCCCCAGACCTGCCGCCTGGAGTGTGTTGGTTGGGTTTTCAGATACTTGAGGCTGCAGTGGTCAGTGTAGACGGTCGTTTTTCTCCCTTCGAGATAACACCTCCATGCTTTGAACGCGTTGACAATGGCGAGGGCCTCTTTGTCATGGATAGGGTAATTGAGATCTGCCCCATGAAGTTTCTTACTGAGGTATGCAATGGGTTGCAGCCCTTTGCCTTGATCTTGCATGAGTACTGCGCCCACTGCTTGATCGCTAGCATCGGCCTTGATGACATAGTCAAGTTCAGGGTCTGGCAGGATAAGGACAGGTGCGGACGTGAGTGCGGTTTTAAGTTGTTCCACGGCTTCCTGGTGCTTCGCCTCCCACTAATATAGTGTATTCTTCTTCAACAGGTTCGTTAATGGTGCGGCAATCTTGGCGTAGTTCGGTACGAATCGGTTGTAGTAGTTGGTGTCAGAACATTATAGCTTATACATTTGTGTAGGCTGTAGTGGGGTAGCCCACAAGGGGTACAACCCAATTAGGGTTAGTACTTGTACCCAACTGTTTCATAGTGCATTCATTTTTCCATTCTCACTTCTCGTCATTGTATCAGAGCAGGTTCCCAAGTGGGAATACTGCCTAGGGCCCACCACGAACTTTTTTTTTCCTTCCCTGCCCGGAGCGCGCTTAGCTCCTAACCCGAGTAGCGCCTCGAGCCGCCTTAGTGGCCCCTATTGGCCGCCCTTACTGCCCCTCGAGCCGCCCTCTACGGCCTCACTTAGGCCGCTACGGCCCCGCTACGGCCCCGCTTAGGCCCCGTCGGCCCCGCTTAGGCCCCGCTACGGCCCCGCTATGGCCTCGCTACGGCCCCCGTCTGCCCCGCTTAGGCCCCGCTACGGCCCCGCTACGGCCCCGTCGGCCCCGTCGGCCCCGCTTAGGCCCCGCTACGGCCTCGCTACGGCCCCGTCGGCCACGTCGGCCCTGCTACGGCTCCGCTTAGGCTCCGGCCCCGCTTAGGCCCCGCTACGGCCCCGCTACAGCCCCGCTACGGCCCCGTCGGCCCCGCTTAGGCCCCGCTACGGCCCCGCTACGGCCCCGTCGGCCCCGTCGGCCCCGCTACGGCCCCACTACGGCCCCACTACGGCCCCGCTTAGGCCCCGCTACGGCCCCGCTTCGGCCCCGCTTAGGCCCCGCTGCGGCCCCGCTACGGCCCCACTTCGGCCCCGTCGGCCCCTCTACGGCCCCACTTAGGCCCCAAGGCGGTGGAGGGAGTGGGGGTGGTGGTAGGAGTAGTGCTGGGGGTGGCGGCGGCGGCGGCAGCAGTGGAGGCGGCGGAGGCGGTGGAGGTGGCGGAGGGAGCGGAGGCGGCGGAGGTAGTGGAGGAGGCGGAGGTGGAGGAGGCGGCGGAGGCGGCGAAGGCGGCGGCGGCGGCGGAGGCGGCGGTGGTGGAGCGAGTCGCGACTCTGCGTCGAGGAGTGGCGCCGGTGGTGGTCAGTGCCAGCAGCAGCAGCGGAGTGGTGTGACCCTGTCCCCTCAGCAGCTTCGTGAGTGGTACTCTGCACGCCAGCGCGGTGGGGGTTTTGGTCCCTGCTCTTACGTTCTCCGTACCGGCGACCGCACTGGTGAGCAGTGCGGGGGTCCGCACTCCACCCAGCGCTGCTTTGGTCGCCTGACGGACGCGTGGCGTCGCCAGTTCCCTGAGGCATCAGAGATCCCTCGCTGGGGAGATCTGGCTAAGGCCGGGGTTGCTATCTTTGATCTTGACTTTGATTCTATTCTTGCTGCCAGGTATGCTGTTGCTGATAGTGTTGAGGGTGCCTGTTACTTGTGTGTACCGCATGAGCCGGGCATTGAGGCTACTGCACTAAGTGCTGGTGAGACTACTGCTCTAGGTGCTAGTGCGTCTGCTGCCCCAGGTGCCAGTGCGTCTGCCGCCCCAGGTGCTGGTGAGTCTGCTCTCTCAGGTACTACGTCGACTCAGGCCTTCCACACCTTCACCCTGGACTCGGGTGCGTCCCGCTCCTTCTTTCGAGACCGCACCACTCTTACGCCGCTTAGTCGGCCGGTTGCAGTCTCCCTCGGCGAGTCAGCGAGTGACCCACTGCAGGTGTGCTCGGACAGGCCGACACTTGGCCACGTTCACCCGTCGGCCAGGGTCGAGCCTGTACACCCTTACTGCTAAGTCTCCTCCTACTGCTGAGTCTGCCCAGGTAGCTGCGTCGAGTCAGGTGTTTGCTGCGGCGTCCAGGTCTGGTCCTGAGTCTGCCCCCTGCTCGTGTCGTCTGCTATCCCACCAGACTCTCCTCTGGCACCACTGCCTTGGTCACCCCTCCTTGCCTCGTCTCCGAGGCATGGCCTCTCGTGTCCTTGTCTCTGGTCTTCCTCGGTCTCTCCCTCCCCTTCCTTTGGGGCCAGGCCCTACCTGCGTCCCCTGCGTCGAGGGGCAACAGCGCGCCGCCCCTCACTCCTCCGAGTTTCCTCCGACAGAGGCTCCGCTGCAGACTCTACACATGGACGTGTGGGGCCCAGCCCGCGTCAGTGGGCAGGGGAGAGAGCGGTACTTTCTGCTGGTCGTTGACGACTACTCGCGTTACACCACAGTCTTCCCCTTGCGCAGCAAGGGTGACGTCACTGAGGTGTTGATCGACTGGATCCGCCCAACTCGTCTCCAGCTCAGAGAGAGTTTCAGCTCTGACTTTCCTATTTTGCGTCTGCACTCGGACAGAGGAGGGGAGTTTTCCTCTGCCCGTCTGGGAGCCTTCTGTCGGGCACAGGGCATCCGCCAGACCTTCACGCTTCTGGCCTCTCCACAGCAAAATGGGATTGCTGAGCGCCGCATTGGCATGGTCATGGACATCGCGCGTACGTCCATGATGCATGCGGCTGCCCCCCATTTTCTGTGGCCGTTTACGGTTTAGTACGCCGCGCATCAGCTCAACCTTCAGCCACGGGTCTCCTTGCCAGAGACCTCCCCCCCCTTGCGGTGGACAGGGAAGGTTGGCGATGCGTCTGCGTTTCGGGTCTGGGGATCTCGGGCGTTTGTCCGAGACTTGTCTGCGGACAAGCTGTCCCCTCGTGCTGTTCCTTGCGTCTTCCTTGGCTTCCCCCCTGACGCGCCTGGCTGGCAGTTTTACCACCCCACCACGCGACGTGTTCTGTCCTCCCAGGACGTCACCTTTGACGAGTCTGTGCCTTACTACCGTCTCTTCCCCTACCGCACTGCGCCCCTCCCCCCGCCGCCGCTCTTCTTTGCGCCAGGTGCTACTCAGGTAGACCCCCTCCCTCCTCAGGGTCCTGCCCCTTCAGGTGTGTCCCAGGTACACGCAGTCGATCCTGTTGAGGTAGCTGTAGACTCTCGTGCTGCTAGAGGTGCTGAGCCTGCGGGTGCCGGGTCTGCGGGTGCCGGGTCTGGGGGTGCTGAGTCTGGGGGTGCTGAGACTTGAGGTACTGAGCCTGGGGGTGCTGAGCCTGGGGGTGCTGAGTCTGGGGGTGCGGAGCCTGGGGGTGCTGGGTCTGCTCGTGTGGCCGCCGGCGGTACTTCGTCGAGGCGGGAGCCGCTCTCTCCACAGGAGCTGCGCGTGTGGTTCTCCCGCCGCCGGAGACGTGCTGCTGAGTCTGGGGGTGTTGGCGCTGGTGTTTCTACTGGTGCTGGTGAGTCTGGGGGTGCTGCTGAGGCAGCTGGTGCTGACGGTCCTACTGGAGTTGGTGCTGCTGGAGCTGGAGCTGCTGGGGGTGTTGGCGCTGGTGTTTCTATTGGTGCTGGTGCGTCTGGGGGTGGTGCTGAGGCAGCTGGTTCTGACGGTCCTACCAGAGTTGGTGCTGCTGGAGCTGGAGCTGCTGGGGGTGTTGGCGCTGGCGGTGCTGCTGGCGCTGGTGCTTCTGAGGGTACTGGAGTTGGCGATGTTGGAGCTGGAGGTTCTGCTGGCGCTGGTGCTGCCGCTGGGGGTACTGCTGCCGTACTTGCTAGTTCTAGAGGCGCTGCGCGGCCGAGGCCGTACTTCGTTCCGCTCCTGGAGCAGGTTCTTGGTCTCCCGCCCTCTACTGGTCCTGCTCCTCCCCTAGAGTGTCCACCGCCTGTCCAGTCGCAGTCACAGTTACCGCCCGCCTCCCCTCTACCTGCTCCTTCTCCTTACACTGGTCCTACTGGAGGTCTTGCTGAGCGTTGTGAGCCTGCGTCTCGTCCCGCGTCACGTGTTCGTGCTGCTCGCACTAGTGGTCGTATTGCACGTCTGCGTCCTCCTGCGGTCCTCGGCACACACCAGATGGCACTGCGTCCTTCCACTGCTCCTCTGCGTGTCCCGTTGCCGTCTCCTCCAGAGTCCTCTCTTCCTTCTCTTGCTCACCCGGAGTCTGACTCCCTTCGTGCTACTAGTCCTTTGGTAACGCGCCTTCTTGCTACTGTCGTCACTGACCCTTCCTTTGAGTCTGCTGCTGCGTCTGCTCTCGTTGCTGAGCTTGTCGAATTCGCTGCTTGCTGTCGTCTAGACTACGCTGCCAGTCTTGTTGCTGAGTCTGAGTCTGTCTGTCCTTTGTCCGTCACGGGTGAGTGTGCTCATAGCACGGACGTCCTTGAGGACAGGCAGGAGGAGTTCCAGTGCTTTGCGGCTCCTTTACCCCATCTCGTGTCCACGCTGATTGCCCCTGAGGGAGACCCGGATGCACCAGACATCCCGACTCCTCGATCGTACGCTGAGGCGATCGAGGGTCTCTACTCCTCTCAAAGGCAGTCGGCCATGGACGCAGAGATGGCTTCCTGGAAGTCCACAGGCACCTACGTCGACGAGGTTCCCCCATCTGGGGCGAACATCGTTTGTGGGATGAGGATCTTCAGGGTGAAGCGGCCGCCGGGTTCTCCGCCTGTCTTCAAGGCGCGTTACGTGGCTCGAGGCTTCAGTCAGCGGCAGGGAGTTGACTACTTTCAGACCTTCTCTCCCACCCCGAAGATGACCACTCTTCGGGTGCTGCTGCACATAGCCGCTCAGCGCGACTACGAGCTTCACTCTCTTGACTTCAGCACTGCTTTCCTGCAGGGCAGCATGCACGAGGAGATCTGGCTGCGCCGCTCTCCTGGCTTCACTGGGTCGTTTCCTCCTGGCACCCAGTGGAGCCTCCGGCGGCCAGTCTACGGTCTTCGCGAGGGGCCCCGTGAGTGGCACGACACACTGAGGACTACACTTGCGGCTCTTGGGTTTGCTCCTTCTACAGCCGACCCATCGCTGTTTCTACGCACCGACACCTCTTTGCCGCCGTTCTACATCCTCGTGTACGTCGACGACCTGGTCTTTTCCACTGCTGACACTGCTGGACTCGCCCACGTGAAGTCCGAGCTGCAGAAGAGACACACGTGCACAGACCTGGGTGAATTGCGCAGCTTCCTTGGCTTGCAGATCACCCGGGACAGAGCACAGCGCACCATTACCCTGACTCAGTCACACATGGTGCAGCAGGTCCTTCAGCGCTTCGGCTTCACGTACTCCTCGCCTCAGGCCACTCCTCTGTCTACTCTCCACTCGCTCTCAGCTCTGCCTTCGGATGAGTCCTTAGAGTCAAGTGGCCCGTACCCAGAGCTTGTTGGCTGCCTCATGTACCTGATGACCTGCACACGACCTGACCTTGCATACCCTCTTAGCATCTTCGCACGCTATGTTGCTCCTTGGAGACACCGACCAGAGCACATGGGTGCAGCGAAGAGGGTGTTGCGCTACGTGTGCAGTACGTCGGGCATGGGGCTAGTGCTTGGAGTGCGACGTCGAGTAGTCCTCATAGGTCACGCTGAAGCTTCTTGGGTTGACGACCAGGCTACGCAGCGGTCGTCACAGGGTTACACCTTCAGCCTTGGCTCCGGCTCTGTTTCGTGGCGGTCTACCCGCTCGTCCTCTGTTCTCGGCTCCAGCTGTGAGGCTGAGATCTACGCAGGGAACATGGCTGCACAGGAGCTACGCTGGCTCACCTACCTGCTGACTGACCTAGGAGAGCCGCCTCGTTCTCCTCCAGTTCTGTACGTAGACAACAAGGCCATGCTGGCCTTGTGTTGGGAGCACAGACTGGAGCACAGAACGAAGCACATTGCTCTCCGCTACCTCCTGTCTCGTGAGCTGCACCAGCGTGGCCCGCTCCGCCTTGCTTACGTGGCCTGTAATGCCAACACTGCTGATATCTTCACCAAGGCCCTTCCGCCTTGTCATCATCAGCGCTTCTGTACTGTGCTAGGTCTTGTGCCTACCTGTCCTCACTTGCTCACTTCTTGATCTTGTTTGTACTGTCTTCTTTCTATACTTGCCCTTGCTTGTTTTACTTTTATATATATGACCTTGCATGTGAACTGGACGGTGTGGTGACTTTGTGATCCACCCTGAGCTTGCTTTGCCTTGCTTTGCTTTGCTTGACTGGTCTTGTGACCACTTGTTCTCCCCCATTTTGCCTATGGGGGTGTGTCAGAACATTATAGCTTATACATTTGTGTAGGCTGTTGTGGGGTAGCCCACAAGGGGTACAACCCAAATAGGGTTAGTACTTGTACCCA